AGAAGCTCTTCCCCGCTGAAAAGGCTATTGTAAAAACGAGGCTTTTGCACAACATATAAAGATGGCGGATTTGTTTTCGTAGCCCGCAATTTCGAACTCAGCAGCGTCGAAAATGGCGTTTAGGCGCCATTCTTGACGCCTTTGTATTTCGTAAGAAGGTGAATTGTACTCATCTTCTGCAAGCGTGGTGGCAACTTGCCATCGTCGTTTCCCAGCAGCCGGTGGACTCAGCTCTGGCCGAGGTGAATTGAAGCAATTTGTTTTGTGTGTGTTCTGATGGCTCGAATGATTTAATGGTTGAAGCGCTTATTCTGGAAAAGCCTGGGGTATCTAACGATGCTGCCAATCATTCGCGAGAGATGGCGGCCTCCAAGAACATCAGGTCCAGCTAGGTCCAGATTGAAAAACGCAGGACTATACCATGTTTCTATTGCAGCATTCGGTCACGGTATTCCTTGATAGCGGAAGATAAATTATGTAATATCTCCGTCATAGGAGTTACTTATAGTGCTTAGCACCCGCCTCGATATTTGACTTCAGCGTTGCAGGATTGTGATGTGCAATCTCGCCATGAATTCTGCAAGATTACGCGCTGAATCACGTTTTAATAGTCCTGCCAAAAGTTATTGGAAACTTTTCGGAGAAATTCGGCTAAGTTCATTGAAGATCGCAAGTTTTGTTTTTTTCTTAATGTCAAATTTTGAGCAGCCATGGTTCGGATAGGATGCCTGCGAACCTTGCACATCAAATGGGCACCCACATACTATAGTATGTAAGTGTTAAGTATTTTATTCCTGTTGGAGCGTTTCTGCGGCGGGTGCCAACGCATGCTAACGTGGGCTATATACGTTGAAAATCTTGTAGACATTGCTGGAGGAATATAACGTTCACTAGAATCAGGTATAGATTATTAAAGAGATATTTCGCTCATCGAAAGAGAAAGAGAGAGGGAAAGAGAGAGAGAGGAAACTTTATTCAAACCACATATATGTCCGGCCAGTGGAATCTAGAGCGCGGGATCCTTCGAGAGGACCCCGGTGGGCTATTGCTGGAGCCTGGGGATACGTTGCGGTGGGTGTCCCTCACGTGGGATATGCGCAAGGCGAGGCGAGTCCAGCAGACAACCTGACGTAGTTGAATTTTACGCCTGCCCGTTCGTGTATAGTCGGTTGCAAGCTAAGAAAAAAACGGAAATGCCTCTGAGAGGAAAATGTAATCCTACGCCGAGAAACGCCAGCCAATTGTTTTCATGACGTCACGATTCTGTGGACCAATCGCGATCCTTTTGAAAAAAGAAAAGCTCAACATGGCTGCTGGCCTTAGCAACGCGATGCTATAGTTTCTCGTGACAATTATTCTGCTTTTTTGCACCGTGTTTTACGTGCCCGAGGTTACGCCACGAAATCTTGAGGGTATCGGCTTGCGTTTGCAGCAGTTTTTGCGCGACAACGTGAGAATCCAGCGACGCTATCGCCAACGAAAATTTCGAAGCGGGCGCGAGGCTTAACACCGCTGAGAGGTATGTTAGACGGTATGTTAGACTAGTATCTTGGACAGGAAATGAATTGTGAAGACGGTACATTGGACATGACTTTCTTTCTTTACTAAACAGCTATTTTGTTGACAAAAACGTATTCTAACTTATTTAAATGTCCTGAATGAATTAAATAAATATTGTAGTAGTTTAAGACAGGTTTCCTGGAGGAAGAAAAAGCAACGTTGCTAGCGAACTACTTTCTCGACGGCGGAGGCACTTCAGATGGGCGCAATGCGCTTGTGGGTGGAGCTAAAAGATTGTTCTTAAGTTGCATCCGACTATAGTGGCCTCGATAAAGACACCAGTGAAGATATGGAGCCAGTACTGCGCTGTGGCTCACAGCAGATCAACTTTGAAATTCGATTTGTGCTCGTGTTAAAACGAAGATATTAGGAAAACTATACAACTGGGCAAAGACGAGAATCATCGAAACTCCTCGGTTTTTTCTTTCTTCTGATAGGCTAGGCAAGCAAGGAAATCCTGAAGCCGGACACTCCAGTTAAGACCTGGGACACAACTTCACTTCCCATCACCAAATTGTATATAAACCATCTATCGAAATGCTGGCGTTACCTGGCCGATCTGACATCGCCTCGTCCCGGACAACGTTGACGTCAACATCCATCCTCCTCTTGCTTCTCCCGTCCGTCTTAGCTCAAGGAAGGCAACCAGGTCGTACGTACGCGCCGATCGAACTCTCTGACGTCACGCCACCAGGGCGGCGCCGCTGTCGGCACTGCGCATGCGCAGAAACTTCATCTCACGCGAATCTGGTTTCTGCGCACGTTCAACGCCCACATTGGGTGCTATTCTAAAACGTGGGCTTGTTTGTAAACAGCGTGTAGGATGTATACGCTTTCTCGTTGGAAAATGGTGACCCTTTTTTTTTTCCCCACAACACAGAGAGCGTAGACTTAATAGATTCGGTTCAACTTAATCCTAACTCAATCAACAGAGGGCGCAGATTGGTTTCTCGAACGCGCGCGTGTTCTTCGCCCGCCTGGCGATGAGGATATTTGGGGCAGAGATGTTGGGGCCGAGTTTGGAGACGCGAGCAGTCAATCGGCACTTTCGCTTCCTTATCGCAGCTTGTACTGCAAACGCGGCCCGTAAACTACGTGACCGCCGTCGACCAAATTGCAAACACTCTCACGTTCTACATGGTATACTGCTGGCGGTAACGCGTTGCAAGTGACGCCGTACTTTTGTCGGTGATGTTGTAACCTAATCGTTATATTTTCAAAACGGTAACGGGTCATGTACTCATTATGAGCAAGCTTTAACGTAGTTTCGTTACTCGTTACAAATTAATGCGAAAACATTAACTGTCCCACGGAGCGAACCGGCGTTATCAGCTTTTGAAGCCGCGCGAAACGACACCTAAATTTCCCTGTCCCACTGAGCGAAGCCTGTAGCAGCGAATTGAGGAATGAATTCCCGTTGGCTCCGACGCGTCATAGCTCCGAAGAGGGTCCATATCAAAAGAGCGAATGACATTTTAGCGAACGGCGACATTTGAGCGAATGGTCGTTTTAGCGAATAACGGGGGCGCGCGTTAACCCAACTGTCGCGCTGCGCTTTACGCCGCTTCGCGGCGACAGTCTACGGCAACTCATTACAAAAATATGAACTCACTTGGCCCACCCGAAAACGCCGCTTCGCGGCGTCCGACTATTCGCTAAACTGTCGTTCGATGAAACGGGCGTTCGCTAAAACGTCATTCGATCAAGTGAGTGCCTCCCCGCGTGCGCTCGGCCGCCCCCCTCTCCTCCCCCTCGTGGGTCACGTGTCAAACGTGCTACGGAGGAGCGGGCCACGCTGCCCGCTGTCCTGCGCACCGCGGACAGCGGGGCGCGCTCTTGTAGGAATACGCTCAATGTAGGAATGCTTTCGCATTCCTACACGTAAGCAGTCTTAAGTTTACTCCTGCAGATTTTCTATCCAAAAGCTAAAAAAAAAAGAAAAAATACGCTTAATTTTTTTTTCTGTTTCTAGGATCCGAGGCATATAAATTTTACTTTTTTTTTACCTTTCCGGTTTTGTCGTGTGTGCTTCTCTTGATATATGGCGCTTATGCACACCGGTAGCTTCAAAGGGGTTAAACGTGTTAATTACTAAATTTAGAAAAGTAACAGAAAAGTAACGTGTGTTCCTTTATAACGATACGGTAATACGTTTCTTTCATTTTGGTGCAATGTAAGTCGGTGACGCGTTTATATGCAACTAACGAGCAGCGTATCTGGTTACTTTTTTTCGGTAACGCCTACAACACTGCTACAGGGCTTCCCCCCAAAGTATTTACGGGGCTTTTGGTTACCGCATAAATAAAATACGCATCACCGAACTTTTATTCTCCGCCCAAATGTAGTCCTATCTGTCTGAACCAAATGCCAATGTTACAGAACTCACCGTTATCTTGTTCAAAAGTTATAACCGATTTTTTGAAATTTTTTATGGAGTAATGGCGGCCGATGGACCTCTTTAATTACATGCAGCTGAATGGCGCAAGTAACTGAAAACGAGCGAAAAGGCGCCTGATTTTCACATTGAAAATTTCAGAAACTTACATAACTTTCCGCTGGGATAACGGCTTGCTTTGAAACTGCTTCCAAGGATCGCTCGAGTACTTTAAACTGCGTCAACCACTCCCTGAATTGCACACCTTCATTTTAATTTCTCTTCCCAAACATAAATGCATTGCACTTCGAGGTTTGTAGCTGGCATCGTGTCGGTCGCAAACTTCTCTTTCACGAGTTTCATCTTCTCTCTGTCACGTATCGTTTTCGAACCGGAAAGTGCTATAAATTCGCCTACTTTCTTCTCCTATATGTAGACAAGAAGTGTCTCTGACTGCACGTCGCGAGGCTGATCCTCCAGCTACGTCGTCACTGCAAAACGATCGAATTCCATCATCCACTTTTGCCATGCCGTCCGAGGCTCACTTGTAGTGTCTAGCGGTTTATGCGGCTAGCTAAAGCAGGCTGGCCACGAGAGTTGCTCTTCGCATTTTTTGGCGTTCTTCGCGGTCTTCTACCGCATCACCACCATCCCCATATCTCTTCTCCGGCGCTTCCTTGCTTCATGCCCTCCACCGCTCCGAAAATCTTCAGTTAAATACGATGCCTCAATTTAAGAAGACACTCAGCCAGCATTGCGATATGAAATTAATTATTTTATTCCCGTGTGCCTCCCGTATACTCGCCGTATTCCTCCAGTAATAGCCATATGTCGCTGCCTATAACAGTTTGTTAAAAGTTTTAAGGTGGGTAACAATGTCACCATACCCTGGCAGATTTAACTCCAGCTGTTGAAAGAACTAACAACCAATTCGTTTGAATATTTTTACGCCCGAATATAGCTCGGAAGCATCATGTAGGTGATGGAGTTAGAGTGCTCCAATTGCGAAACGTTGACTACATATCTGCCGCTGTATCAAGCGCGATGTTTCCAACTGCAGAGTGCACGGCCAACGCGACCACCGAATTCGACCCGCCTCCTAACGTGACGTTCGTGACAAAACACCGCGAACCCAATCCGGGCATTCTCCAAGCTTTGTTCACTGTTACGAGGTTTGTGGGAAGATTCCTCATTCCTGTCCCCGGCATCTCAGAAGGTAAGGGCTCCTGTTTTTCAGCTCACTCTTAGCTACCAATATATGCAGAGAGCAAGTTTGTTTCTTTTGCAAAAGTTTTGGTGACGTCACTACGCCGATGTGTGAATGGCTCAGATAGAAGGATAGTGGGTACACCTCACAACAAGCTGCATTGAGGTCTACCGCGTTAGATCACAACTTACAATACTGAAAGTAAACGTGGCATTTGTGTAGTGATGATGATGATGATGATGTCGGCAGCCTATACGGAAACTCAACTGTCCGACGTCACGAAGCTGCGGTGGTGCTGCTGTCGGCACTGCGCATGCGCAGAAGCTTCATCTCACTCGAATCGGCTTTCTGCGCGCGCGCAGTGCCTTCCCCTGATGTGGGCAAACGATTGCTTGTCTGGCATGTCGTTTTACAGTGGCGGACAACTTAAGAAAGGCAGGCCGTTGCGAATTCCAGGCATTTGATATTATCGCTTGGCAGACAATGGAATTTTGGCATTAGCAGATAAGAGCGCCAGAGAAGGAATCAAGAAGCAAGAATTCGAACGTATTTCGATGGCGCTTTCAGGTTTTTTTGGGCCGTCGGTGACCATATAGAGCTGGAAGTAATTATACTCATTTTCACCTCAAGAGAAAAAGGTTAGTTTTGTGGATTGTTCATACGCCGCTCGAAGGTGTTCTTACAATATTTGGTTGTCGGGAGCAGAAGCGATGCTTTTGACGTTTGAAGCGTGTACTTGATAAAATAACATATATCTAACCTAAAATGCGCCTACATATATCTTAATTTTCTACATAAAGGAGGAAATTAGTAGTGGTTCGCAAGGAGCAGAACTTTTTTTACTGCGGCTCTTGAGATGAAAACGAGTGGAGATCTTGGAAGGAAGCTTCCTGGCGGTTTCAAGTCCCAGGAGGAAACAAATCGGTGCAAAATGAACGGAAAAGTGTTGTGAATCTTCCCTTCCAGTCACGAGGATTCTATTTCTCCTCTGCGTTTATTAGGGGGACACTTAAAAGAAAAAAAAAAAACTAAAAGAAAAAAACTAAAAAGATTATCGAAAAAAAAGAAAAAGAAAACGGTTTTGAGGTGAGTTACAGAGTATTTTTATCCTTTGAATTTGAATATCACGCTCGTTTTCCCCGAAGATGTAGCTAAACGCGAGAAAACACGAAAAACCTCCCGACCAGTCGTTACGTTATACTATACTCCGTTTCACCTTAAGTTGTACCGCAGAGAAGGCTAGAAGCGCGAGCTCATAGCGTTGGGAGCTGCTCCTACGCACGAGAGCTTGTGCCGCCGAGATGTGCCCTAGAGCAAGGAGCTCGCGCTTGTAGCCTTTCCTGCGGTACATCATAAGGTGGAATAGAGTCTAGGATATCTCGGCCGCCAAGCGCGTGTCACTCGTGTTGGCAGCTCGTGCAATTGCGAGCTTGCCAGGTATAAAGTCATTGGATCCTGGGAAAGTAGCGCCATTGCCTTCCCTACCTGCTAGCCGGACACAAACGGATACTAACATAGAGACGACCCAAACCTTGGAAGGCGATTGGCTAATCGGCCTACGTTGCCATGGAAATCGCCATCTTGGTCCATTTAAATCTTCGAAGCTTCCAGGAGGTCGTTCTAAACCAGTCGCGCCAAGATCACCATGGAGCATCATCGTACTGGAAGCGTTCCTCTTCAATATAAGAGTCTTTGGTACTTCGTATGCAATCAACTTATTAATCAGGCCCATCTCCATGGATCTCTTACAATTATATTGTTCTTCTTGCGCATTTCAAGACAGTAAACTTATTTTTCAGTGCCTCCAAGCACCGACACAGTGTCTGGTGGTGGTACGAAAGTGTACGCCTGTTTCGCCGGTGTGTGGTTTCAAAATCTTGGTATACAAAAAACGACTCAATAGAGCTACCCGTCACCAGCGAATCTAGGTAGGCTCACCAAGAACAGAGGGTCAAGGAGAAATTGCTCATTTCATGGAGCAAGATGGCGACCGCACGCGGAGCTTGGCGTTACTTTCCCCGGATCCAGTGACTTTAGCCAAGTATATTCCCCCGCTTGCACTGACACAAGCCGCGCCGTCTTTTTCGGACCTATCTTCAAAATGGCGACAAGAGTGCGCGTGCATAGCTGCGATAGGCGCATGAACATGCGCGAGAGCGGAGATTCCGAAAACTCTGGATATTACGACACGCTCTGGGAAGAAGAGGCTTCGGCGGTAAAAGAAGATGATTTTCTCCAGCCTCCGTGCACCAAATTTAATAAAAAATAATTTCGATATTCATGATTCTGGAGCCCAAATGAAGACGATTTAAGTGTTTTTTTCTCAAACTCCATTCCACTTCTCTTTTCCTTTAAAGAAGCCACGCAATGATATTCGCTTGGAATATTGTTCACTTTACACAAGCTTTTTGAAACTAGTGGGACCGACGTATACTGGCCTGCAATGCCACTTGCCAAAGAACTCCTTTGTTGCGGTGTAATTTCAAGGACAAAAGCCAGCGTTTTCATTCAATCTTTCCTTCGCAAAACTTGACGATGTAGGTAGGGGGTCGAAGTACCCCGAGGTGACGATACTCAAATGCGGCTCATAGATTGGGCCCTAGCATTGCGTGAGCACTCGATTTCGGCTCGTGATAATCGATAGCTCAAGAAGTGTTCGGGTAGTGGCCCGTGCCCAAACGCTGCAATGACGACAATAGCCGAACCATAACAATGTCTGGGACTCAGCGTGTGTCCTGTGGTTTGCCAACCCCAGCGCGTGGCTATGATCAACGTTGGCGCATATAATTGGTTCTAGATCACGTGGCCGCTTGTTCTGGCTCTGAGTTGAGGGGGTGAACGCTGCTCGTTTTTCTTTAATTTTTTCTGCGACTTCTTTTGCATATGGTGAAAAACGAACGCGTGTTTCATAGGCCATGAACGTCAAAGATTCGTTCTACACTCTCCAAAAAAGGGTGTCAAAAGGTGTATCACTACACCCTTTGTCCCATATAATACACCCCGAAATTTCAATTCGACGTACAGCGCCCTACAGTCGACCAGACGGCCCAAAATTTTACGAGGGGTTTGATAGCCCTGTGGTACAACATCTTAAATAGCTAAAGTACGTATCAAAAACTACATAAAGAAGACACCGAGTTTTTACAGAAGGGCCAAGAAAACCCCAATTATTTTTCTTGTTGCCAGTAAAACGTGCATTAGCTATTTTAATAAGTTGTACCACACGGCTATCAAGCTCCTCGTAAAATTTCGGGCCGTCTGTTTGACTGTAGGGCGCTGTACGTCGAATTGAAGTTTCAGGGTGTATTATATGGGACAAAGGGTGTAAGAATACACCTTTTGACACCCTTTTTTCTGGAGAGTGTAAGGGGTATTTTTGCGCAAAGTACATAAATTTGTACGGCAAACTTCTAGGCAATTTTGTTGGATGCGTGGAACGTTCTTGCATAACCAGAGTTTACCCTACTGAAAAAAACCATTTGGCGCCTATATGAAAACAAACGGGTCCATACCGGTAACAGTTTAACCATACCGGTCACCAGTTTGTCAAAGGGGTCGCCCGTATGGCTCAAAGGGGTCCCCCGTATGAGCCATAACGGTCACCTATTTGGACAAACGGGTCACTCCTTTGGCAAACGGGTCGCCCGTCTGGGCAAATGGGTCGCCCGTCTGGGCAAATGGGCGACTCGTTTGGGCAAAGTTGTCGCACGTTTCCTCAAACCGGTGACCATGTAGCAAACTGCACCGGTTTAATCAAACGGCTCTCCGGGGCCCGTTTGATACTGAACGTACAGATCGGCGGCGTAGGCACGCCTAGCGTTTCAGCCGTGGCAGCCAATGTTTCCGGAAGGCTGGGAGCGCCGGCTTATCAATTTCAGATCGTCCGCGTAATGCAAGTAATTATATTTATATTTCAATTGCGCTGATGTTAGCTTATACTGCAACTAAAACTAACACTTTTTTTTTTTTTACGTGGACGCGCGACGTTGGTGAGCCGATATTTTTGACAGAACTTTAAAGCTTTGTAAAACTTTGTTGCCTCAATTTACTTATTCAGCTCGAATCTGTCTCGCAGAAGACGCGACCGCGTGAAAGAATGTACGTCTAGACTCCGTTTCACTTTAATTCGAGACGCAGCGAAGGTAGAACGCATACTGTAAAACCCTTTATTTTCGCGGCCCCTATTTTTCGCGAATCGGTCACAGATAATATAATCGCGACCACTAAATTTCGCGAATTTCAGACGCCTGCGTTGAAAATCTTAAGGACCGAAATTTTCGCGCGCCCTTGAATTTCGCGAATTCTTCAATTCGTGAAATTCGCGAAAATTGAGGGCTCGCGAACATTAAGGGTTTTACAGTACACGCGGCTGCAAGAACATCGAGCATTGCGAGAGCACGCCCGCCGTTGCAGCAGTAAAACTACGAGCTCGCGCTGAGTATTTTCTTCGCTCGGGCGCAAGCCGAACTTCTGGCCGCCCCGCCGCCATTTCCGAAATTCAAAAGCGCTAAAATGCGCGCGCGCGCGCGCGAGTGTTTCTTTTTTTTTTCGAGGCAACAAAAACGCATTTCTCTGGAATGCCTGGGGAGAGGGAGAGGGGCTGTCCTTGTGGTCCTCGCCCCCTCCCTTCTTTCTTGTCACCCGAAAAGCCGCGCGCGAGCTACACGCTGATAAGCATCGAGATCCGGTAGGGTGCGCCTAGCAGCCACTTTTTTCTTTTTCTGCTTGTTGTCAGTTCCAGCTTGAACTTCGCGCGTCCACCTGCTTGGATTTGTCGCCTAACCCTGCGGTCTTATTAGGATGTCTCTCGACAACGTATTGGATGTGCACCAAAGCTACCAGTGTTCGAAAAGTCCTACGTCTATATCGGCAACAAGCGATTCTTCAAAGAAGTCAGGAATTCTTGCGGTTTGGTTGGGTTCGGCAACTGACAGCTTGTGCGCCACATCGTGTTGAAACTTCCAAGAAGCCGTTCCCTCTCATTTGTGTTTGTGTGGTTGTCCTGCTTC